CGAAGGCTCTTTGGCAAGAATACTCCTTCCAAGCTCTGGTCAAAGTTGTCTCCCAGGATCAAAGTCTGCAAAGTGCTCGGCAAATCGATGCCTCGCAGGCTCTGGTTGAAATTATAGCCGAAAGCCAGCTTCTCCAAGGCCGGTGGAAATGCGAAGCGCTCCAAGCTCAGGTTGAACTCGCTTCCAAATGCCAAAGTCTGCAGGCTACTTGGCAACACGACCCCTGCTAAGCTCGTCTTGAACTCCGTGCTAAGCTCCAGAGTCTGCAGTCTACTTGGCAGCATCACGCCTTCCAGGCTTTGGTCGAAGTCATGACCAAATAACAAAGTTTGCAAGCTGCCTGGCAAGGCGACACCCTCCAAACTCTGGTTGAACTCCCAGCCAAACTCCAAAGTCTGGAGGCCACTTGGAAGCTCCACATCTTTCAAGCTCTAGTTGAAGAACTCCCCAAAGATCAACGTCTTCAGACTGCTGGGCAGCATGATACTTTCTAGAGGATCGTTGAAATTACTGCCAAAAGTCAGGGTCTCTAAGCTGCTTGGGAGCTTCGCAGCTTGCAGCTGCTCCTTGGAATGATTGCCCAAAGTCAAGGTATGCAAACTGCCTGGCCACGTAATGCCTTCCAAGCTCTGGCAAAACTGGCAGCCAAAAGTCAAAACTTCGAGGCCGCCCGGCAGCATTACATCTTCCAGGCTCTGGTTGAAGGCCTCACCAAAAGTCAATGCCCGCAGACTGCTTGGCAATGCAACGCCTTTCAGACTTTGGTTGAAAAAGTCGCTGAAGGTCAACGTCTCTAAGCTCTGTGGAAATGTGACGCCTTCCAAGCTCTCGTTGAAGGCCCTGCCAAGACTCAAAGTCTTGAGGCCTTCTGGCAAAGCAACACCTCTCAAGCTCTTGTTGAAACGAGCCCCCAAGGTAAGAGTCTGCAGGCTGCTCGGCAACGAGACACCTGCCAATGTCTGGTTGAAATCCGCCCCGAACTTCAATGTCTGCAAGCTGCTTGGCAGGGTGACCTTAGCTGCTGAGTTCATAGACACCCCCCAAAAGCTGTGCAGTTTCAGTTCTATGATAGGGAGAAAATATTATCCCAAAGAAAGTGTGTACTCATTCAGCTGCTTCGTTACTCCTTCCAAGCTCTGGTTGAAAGCCCAGTCAAAGGACAAGGTCTCCAGGCCTTTGCTGAACTCGGCACCCTCGCAAAGATTGTCATTTCAGCTGGATTCTCAGGGATTGTAACAACCAACACTTAGAAAACACGTCCCAAGTACCCCTAAGAGGCTGTTGGGGAGCTGCACGCCACGCAAACTCCGATCGAATTCGGCGCCCAGGTTCAATACCTTCAGGCCGTCGGGCAGCAATGCATCCTCCAAGCTCTGGTCCTTGGTTGCTGGGTTCATTTAGGGTTTAGGGTTTAGTGTTTAGGGTTTAGGGTTATAAGGCCCAAACCCCCCCAAAAAGTCTACACCTTCAGGTCTATAGGGGATCCCTTCTATCCCAAGAAGTGTCAAGTGTACCCATGCAGCGAAGGATCAAAATGAACACCGAAGGTCATAGTTTCCAAGCCCATTGGAAGCCTCACGCCTTTCAAGCTCTTGTTGAAATCAGAGCCCAACGTCAATTTTTTCAATCTGCTCGGCAAAGGGATATCTTCCAAGCTCGCGTTGAAGCTGTCGTCAGTGGCCAATGAGGATACCGCATCGATTGCGCTCAAATCTGCCGCGCTCAAGCTCGTCGTTGACGCCTCGTTTACGGCTCGCTGGAAACTCCTTACAGCCTGGTAGGGACTGATCTGCTTGACGACGAAACTGACTTCACGAGACTCGACTTGTTCCAGTACCGGTAGGGACTCATTCAAGACGCTGCCACCAGAAGTCAGCACCAAAGTGCTGCTTGGTTTCATCTCGATCATCTCCGCGATTTGCTTGGAGACATCTGCAACAGTTGTAGCATCGTCAACTGGAAGCTGAAACGTCGATCCGTCCAAACCCTGTATGTGCAAGGAGTTTACCACCCCGGGCCCGTCAGCATGGGATCGCGCTCGCTTCTCCTGTGCTACCAGCCTCGGCTATAAAGGTTTGGGGTTCAGGGTTTAGGGTCCGAGGACAAGAAAGGCTGGAGGAGACACCTGAAAGAGACAACAGCCGTCCCGAACATCATCTCAACAAGCCACATTCATCTGCCTCGACATTTCTGGGAAATCCAAAGACTAGGAGATAATGTAGGGGCCTTGATAATTAGAATAGGGTTTTGGGGCATGATATACTATAATCATAATAAGGAGCCTCTAAAGTAGTATAGGCAATCATTAAGGCCCCTATAGAAATCCTCTGAGGCCAAGAGGCCTCTGGGCTGTAGCAAGAACCTCTTCGGCGCGCTCGAGATCTTCGCTGATGAACTGCTGCATGGTGGATTCATCCAGGGCGGCCGATGCACCCGCACCCATGGCAGTGAGTTGTGGAAGTGAAATCCACTGATGATGCGGATGTCAGTTGTGCAAATGACTGCAAATGATTCCTGGATTGCCATTGATTCTGCGGACTAAAC